AAAAAAAAAAAACAAAAAAAAAAAAAAAAAAAAGAAACATAATGGTCTAAATATGGAAGACAGGGCTGGGGAGATGGCTCAGAGGTTAAGAGCACTGACTGCTCTTCCAGAGGACCCAAGTTCAATTCCCAGCAACCACATGGTGGCTTACAACCATCTATAATGAGATCTGGTGCCCTCTTCTGGTGTGCATGCATGCAGATAATTGTATATGAAATAAATAAATAAAATCTTAAAAAAAAATATGGAAGACAAAGACCTTATTTCCTACAATTAATACTGCCATCCCTTACATGGAAGTATCAGATTCGTCTGTCTTTGTATTGTATTGCATTAGAATGTCTCCTTTTAAAAATTGGTGTTTGATTTGCTAACTTGAGTTTCACAAAAAGTTGTTAGATGGATTTTGGCTTTGGATCAGGACAAAATTTTCAACTATTTTTGAAATGGCCCTAAACATACTTTTTGTCATTTTGTGTTACATATTTACATGAAGTGCTGTTTTGTTTGTTTGTTTGTTTGTTTGTTTTTTTCCGAGACAGGGTTTCTCTGTATTGTTTTGGAGCCTGTCCTGGAACTCACTCTGTAGACTGGGATGGCTTCGAACTCACAGAGATCTGCATGCCTCTGTCTGTGAAGTGCTATTCTTATTGTTATCATTTATAATGTCAATATATCAACCCAATTTTAATCTTTTTTTGCATTTTTTTATTTGAATTAGAAACAAGATTGTTTTACATAACAATCCTGGTTCCCTCTCCCTCCCGTCCTCCCCTCTCACTCCCTCCCCCAAATAAAACCCTACCTATCACATATCCTTTCTGCTCCCCCTGGATGGTGAGGCCTTCCATAGGGGGTCATTAGAGTCTATCATATCCTTTGGGATAGGACCTAGGCCCACCCCCGTGTGTCTTGGCTCAGGGAGTATTCCTCTATGTGGAATGGGCTCCCAAAGTCCACACCTATGCTAGGGATAAGTACTGAACTACTACAGCAGGTCCCGTAGATTTCCGAGGTTTCCTCACTGAAACCCATGTTCCTGGGGTCTGGATCAGTCCCATGCTGGTATCCCAGCTATCAGTCTGGGAACCAAGAGCTCCCCGTTGTTCAGGTCAGCTGTTTCTGTGGGTTTCACCATCCTGGTCTGGACCCCTTTGCTCTTCACTCGTCCTCTGCATCTGGATTCCAGTTCAGTTCAGTGATTAGTTGTGGGTGTCTGCTTCTACTTCCACCAGCTGCTGGATGCGGGCTATTGGGTGGCATATAAGTCAGTCATCTATCTCATTATCAGGGGAGGACATTTAAGGTAGCCTCTCCTCTGTTGCTTAGATTGTTAGCTGGTGTCGTCTTTGTAGATCTCCAGACCTTTCCCTAGCACCTGATTTCTCTGTAAACCTAAAATGTCTCCCTCTATTATGGTATCTCCATTCTTGTTTTCTTCTAATCTTCCCCTGACTCAACCTTTCTACTCCCTCATATCCTCCTCACCCCTCCTCTTCTCCCCTTCTCATTCCCCTAGCTCCCTCCCCCCTCTTCCCATGCTCCCAATTTGTTCAGGGAATCTTGACCCTTTCCCCTTCTCCAGGGAACCATGTATGTCTCTCTTAGGGTCCTCCTTGTTTACTAGCTTCTCTGGCAGTGTGGATTGTAGGCTGCTAATCCTTTACTCTATGTCTAAAATCTGCATATGAGTGAGTACATATCATGTTTGTCTTTCTGTGATTGGGTTACCTTGCTCAGAATGGTTTCTCTAGTTTTTCCTTTGTTTTAAGTTGTTGAGATGATAATATAGTTATGACATTTCCCTTTTCCCTTGCCTGCTTCCAAGCCTTCCTATATAACACTCCATGTTCTCTTCAAAATTCAGAGCCTCCTTTTCATTAATTGTAATTGGATGCACATATATATTTAATATGTATATTAAATTGCATACATATATATTCTTTTTAAAAAATCTTTTATTTATTCATTATGTATACAACATTCTGCTTCCATGTATATATGCACACCAGAAGAGGGCACCACATCTCATAAGGGATGGTTGTGAGCCACCATGTGATTTCTGGGAATTGAACTCATGACCTCTGGGAGAGCAGCCAGTACTCTTTACCTCTGAGCCATCTCTCCAGCCCCAATGTTAATCATTTTAATTATCATTGTTGTGTTTCATGTGTGAGGGTATGCAGAAAATGAACTTGTGGGAGTAGGTTCTCTCTCCACCTGTATGGGGGTTCCAGGGATTGTCTCAGGTCTGTGAAAGCGAGTGCTTTTACCTGGTGAGCCACCCCCTCTTAGAGGCAGGGCTTGACGATATATACTTGTTATCCCAGTACCAGGGAGGTTGAGATGGGATTGAGTTCCAGATCCTGTCTCAACAAACATGGCTCAGCAGTTAAAGAGCAAACACTGCTCTTGCGGACGACCCAAGATCAGTTCCTAGCACCCATGTAGGGTGACTTATAACTCCAATTCCAGGAGACTCTCGGGGTGTCTGCTCTTACACGCACATAACTAACATAGTTACATAATTTAAAATAAGTCTTTGTTTAAAAGTGAAAAACAGGGGTGATAGTTCAGTGGTTAATGGCATGACTGCTTTTTCAGAGGACCAGAGTTTGATTTTCAGAACCCACGTGGCAGTCACAACCACCTGCAACTCCAGTCCTAGGGAATCCGATGCCCTTTTTGGTCTCCACAGCACTGTATGCACGCTGATGCAGACAAAACACCCTAAGCACATAAAATAAAGGTTAAAAACAAAACCTAACCAGTGGTTGTTCCCTGCCAGCCTGGAGGACTTGCGAACCCTCAAGGGGCAACATTTTCTTTTGGATCCCTTGTTGTCTGAGCTTCTTGTGTTCCCCGCACAGACAGATCTGCATGACCATCCGCTCTACCGCGCTGGCCATCTCATCCTGCAGGATAAGGTGTGTGTGTGGGTAGGGGGGTGGCAGGAGAGAGGGAGGGTGTTGTGGGGGAATGATTTATGGGGGCTCTGCAGGATAAGGTTCAGGGGGGGTAGGAGAGAGGGGGGTGTAGAGGAATGACTTAAGGGGACTCTGTGTTCACCCAGCTGCCCACCATTTCTGCCCTGCTAGGCCAGCTGCCTCCCAGCCATGCTGCTGTCTCCCCCGCCAGGTTCCCATGTCATTGATGCCTGTGCTGCCCCTGGCAACAAGACCAGTTACATTGCGGCCCTTCTCAAGAACCAGGGGTGAGTGTTGCCCTCTCACCCCTTTGAGGCAGAGGGAGGGGTGTGGTTGAATCTTGTGTTGTTTTGGGGGGTTAGTCTCACTGAATGATACAGATTGAGAGCATGGCCCTGGCAACTCAGCCTAGTTCCAAGCCAAGCTACTGGTGTGAGACTAAACTCCCTCAGTCCTTAGGGTTCTTCCCAGGCTGGGTGTCAGTGGCTGGGAGCCTATAAGCTTTGTGTTTTGTTTTGGGTGGTAGTGCATTGGGGATTGAATCCCCAAAGCCTTATTCATGCTAGGTAAGCACTATACCACTGAGCCACACCCCAGCCCCTCACTGGGGGATTCTAGGCAGGTGCTCTGCCACTGAGCCACACCCCAGCCCCTCACTGGGGATTCTAGGCAGGAGCTCTACTACTGAGCCACAACCCCTAGATCTGTGTCCTGACTTAGTTTATGTAACAGCGTGATGTTACCTAACTGTGGGATTCCATGCTCCATGAATTCTCAGTTTTAGAGCTGGCAAAATGGCTCAGTGAGCACTTGCTGTTCCTGAGGACCTGAGTTCAGTTCCCAGCACTCATGTCTGGTGGCTCACAACTTCCTTAACTTCAGCTCCCTGAGTTCCAACACTCTTCTTGGCCTCCACAAGCACCTGCACATATGTGACATATAGACACATAAGTCTTTTTTTTTTTTTTTTTTTTTTTTTTTTTCAAGATTTATTTTCTGTATGTAGTGCTCTATCTGCAGGCCAGAAGAGGGCATCAGGTCTAACTATAGATGGCTGTGAGCCTCAGGACCTCTGGAAGAGCTGCCAGTGCTCTTAACTACTGAGCTATTTCTCTGGCTCCCTAGAAGTTTTAATTTAAAAGAAATTCTCAGTTCATTCTGCCTCTGCTCTATTCCCTAGGAAGATCTTTGCATTCGACCAGGATGCTAAGCGACTGGCAGCCATGGCTACACTGCTGGCTCGAGCTGGGGTCTCTTGCTGCGAGTTAGCTGAGAAGGACTTCCTGACAGTCTCTCCCTCTGACCAGCGTTACAGCCAGGTCCAGTACATCTTGCTGGATCCTTCTTGTAGTGGCTCTGGTGAGATGGGGACAGTGTGGCTGCAGTCTTAGCCCCACAGCAACTTGGATACTAAAGGCTATCAGTTAATCTTGGTATTACTTCTAACTTATGACAATAGGCAAATGCTCATCTATACAATGAGGATTTTGGTGGGAAATGGCTTCATAGCTGCAGCTCCTTTTCCATAGGTATGTTGAGCCGGCAGTTGGAGGAGCATGGAGGAGGTACACCTAGCAAGGAACGCCTGCAGGCCTTGGCAGGGTTCCAGCAACGGGCTCTGTGCCACGCACTCACCTTCCCCTCTCTGCGACGCCTGGTCTACTCCACGTGTTCCCTTTGCCAAGAAGAGAATGAAGATGTGGTCCAAGTGGCTCTACAGCAGAACTCGGGGGTCTTCAGGTAATGGTGTCCCTAGAATCTGAGAGGTCGCAGGCTATTTCTCACTAGGGTCTGAGTCCTCTCCTTCTCCACAGATTGGCTCCTGTCCTACCCACGTGGCCTCACCGAGGTCTGAGTACCTTTCCAGGGTCTGAACACTGCCTCCGGGCTTCCCCTGAGACCACACTCACTGGTGGCTTCTTCATTGCTGTGTTTGAACGGGCAGAAGTGGTGCCCGGGTGAGTAAGCAGCAGGGGTTTTGTTTGTGTTTGAGGCAGGGTCTGTGTGACCTGGGTTGGCTTACACTTCACTGTGTAGGTAGATGAGGCTGGCTTCAGAGTTTGAGCCTCTGCCTCCTGAGTACTCTGCTAACCTCTGACCTCTTCTTCCAGCCCAGCTCCACAGGACAAAGCAGTGGCTCCAGAACCTCTCAGCAAAGCTCCAAAGAGAAAGAGAAGACGCAAAGCAGCAGCTGGTGCCAGCGTAGAGCCAAGCACATAGTGGGCACTGGCAGTTCTACTAGTTAAATAAAGGGCAGACTCAGGTCTATGACAGATCACAGTTTTATTTTTAATGACATAAGCAAGAACAATCTCACATTCATACTAAAAATCTCAGCTACGCTCACAGGAACTCAGTCTGTCTGTAGTGGGAAGCCCTAGCCTCCCTGTCCCTGTCCAGCGTGAGCACGGACAAATGTGCTCACACACCGAGGCTATGCCAGGACGCCTCTTCAGGGGCCCTGGATGCAGGCCTGCTGTGGAGCTGAGGTAATTAGCTCAGACTGAATTGCAGGGAGGCCCCTTCCTTACCTGAGGCACAAGTAGAGGCTTCCTGTGAAGATCCCCACCACCTATCCCCATCCCTACAGGCATTTGGGACTTGAGGTCCAGCTCTCCCCAGCTCCATACAACCCAGTCTAACCCCTGCCAGTCACAAAGGTAAGGGACCAGTTATAGCTACATCACATTGTTTATAAAGTAAGACTCACACTTATACAACATGTCCAGAAGGAGCTCTGCCCCCTTAGCAGAGCTGCTGGGGACAGCCATGAGCCCCTCCTTCACACAGGCATAACTATACAGCTAATTCCTACTATTCAATAGCATTTATACTTAACCACCTCAGTGAACCAAGCTTGAAGGAATTTAAAAGGCAATTTAGCTTAAATATAAAAATAAATTTTTATTTTGTTAAAAAACGTTTAAATATTTTTTTTCTTTTAATTTAGACACACGCATTCATACTTCTCCCAAAGAGGATGGGCATGGCAGCCAGGCTCTGGGGCCTAAGGGTGTGGTTTTTGGAAAGGAAAGAGAAAAGCTAGGAAGGACCCTTTTGGGAAAACAAATAAGAAACTTAAAAGTGTAGTCCATTAATCTAAAACTCCAAACACAGGCAGAAGATGCCCTTGCCTGTTACGTGGGGGAGGACCAACAGAGGGAAGTCTTTGCTCCCATAGGCTCCATCCCCTGGGCTGCCAGCCCTTAAGTCAAAAAAACACTATTGAGAATTCAGGAGTCAGCACTGTGGCTGTCACGCGGTGCCACTTTCAGCATTCAATTAGCTAGGCCTAAGAGGGCCCAGGCGACATTAAGTCCGGCATTACCAACATGCCGCCACACATACAATTCAATTCTTCCTCCAAACTCGATTCAAGGAGCAACACACATTAACATCAGACAAACACAATACAAGGCTTGGAAAATACAATCCCGAAGAGGCAAAGTGGCCCGTGGGGTGTCGGGCAGGTGAAGAGGCAGCTAGAAGCAGTGGTGGGCAGTCTGCCTGCCCCAGGACTTCCTGGAGCAAACTTCTCCCCTGGCTCTGCCAGGCTAAGTCCTGAGCCACCACCTTTATGGAGGCTGGACTGGCGGAAGGCTGGAGATAAATACACTTGGAAGAAGAGGCGAGCAGCGCCCACTGGGGTCTCCAAGGCAAAGCAAGATTCACTGCCCTTTAAAAAGGAGTGAATCTCAGAGGACAGACAGGTGAAGGACAAAGCAGCAAGAAATGAGGAGAGACCCTGAAGGAACCAGAGGAAGAGACCACTTCTTATGGCCAAGCCAAGCAGGCAAAGCTCAGGGATACTCCATTCCCCCATCCTACACAAGGTATGCTAGGGATCCAAGTGGTGCTCGAGAGGGGATGGCCGCCTAGGCTACACATTAAACAATCGCTGGGGCAGCAAGAGGACAATATGTACAGATGTTTCTCCAGTTCTCCAGCCTCACCAGTGTGACTGCTCAAGTAAAGTATTGGGCTTCTGCCCCTCCCTGGGGCACCCACTTTCTCTAGAACAGAAAGGGCCAGGCTGCCACTTCTGCCCTGGTGATGGGCTAGGTTTGCTATGGAATTCGAAGGGTCAGAGGCTCTTCCTAGCAGGTGCTGAGGTCCAGATTCAGGCAAGGAATGGGGGAGCAGAGACAAGAGGCAGGCTACTACTTCTTGCGGGTATGCTGCCTTCGGGCCTGAAGTCGCTGTCGAGCCCCTGGGGTCTTGGATCCCGCGCCAATGGAAAACGAAGGGGCCGCTGATCCTGGAAAGAGTTGACAAGACCTCATCAGGGCAGCTACTGCCAAAGAAAATGTGCCTGGTGTGTTGCTCTGGGAAGCTAGGTCAAAGGAAGACGCATAGATGTTCTACTACAGGGATTCCAAAGCTGTTGGCAGCCCTATTAGCCCTTGGTGGGACCCGATCATAAACATGCAGGAAAAACACCAACATATAAAAATAAAGCAAACCAAACAAAACCACACCAACACTTGGCTTTCCAAATGTTTGAGTTTCCTGAGAAGGCTCAATCTTCCTGTCCAATTCCCCTAGACCCTGAGGGCCAGCAATCTGCTATCCTCATAATCACTCCTCATCCAAGGGACAGGGGTGTCACGCTGGCAACAGACTGGCTGCTTACCGAAAGGTCCGACTCCAACAAAGCCTTGGGCAGGTGTTGAGGAGGCCCCAAACGAGAGGCTGCTGCCTGCGGTGCCTACTCCAGGGGCAGGGGCACTCTGCCCAAAAGTGGGTGTGGGCGTGCCTAGATGGGAGAGATGGGAAGCTGCAGAGCCTGGGCTGACCCTCAGAGCCTAGCTGGCCTCTCCCACCCTCCATGCACAACTGCAGCAGATTAACCTAACACTGTCAGGTTAATCTCACCCTGCCTCCCCACCTCTCCTCTCGCTCACCCTGTAGGGTCCCTAGCCCTCCCAGGATGCCCTGAGAATGGTTCCTGCTCTGCCTGTATGCAATTATCTCAGGGCTGTATTGTTGTGATGCTGCTTCCAGATCATTTCTCACCCCTCCTACCTCAAACACCCATTCTTTTGTTTTGCTATTTTTGAGACCGGGTCTGCTATGTAGCCCAAGTTGGCCTGAAACTCTCCAACCTCCTGTTCAAGCCCTGTCCAAGCTGAAGTACCAGAATAACAGACATGCACACCATACCCAGCTAACTCCTGAGGTTCAGACCACCAGGCTCTTATGAACAGTCCTGGTCCTTGCAGTGTCACCTGTCAATCATTCTTTTTCCCCACCCCCACAAAGGACCCTGACCCATCACCCTCCCCATCACCATTCTTAAGTGACTTCACCACTAGTGAAAAGACTCGTGATCCTTCAGTGCCAACAACAGCCACACAAACTCTCCCTGTGTGCTGTCTTGTGTCTGTGTTTGGACCAGTGTACTATTCGTTCTGGGAATGTATAGAAGCCAGAGGTTGACACTGGGTGTCTTCCAGAGTCTCTCACCAGCCTGGAGCTGGCTATTTTGGCTAGACTGGCCAACAAGTCCACGGGATCTGCCTACCTCCACACACTCAGCACTGGGATTACAGGTACACACTACTGCCTCATCTAGTACTGGGGATTGAACTCAGATCCCTTACACTCAAGGGGCAAGTACTCTGACTACTGAGCCATCTCCCAGCCCTGTCCACCCACTTATTCCAGAGGTTGCTTGAACCTCCGCACACTTCGAGAACTCATCATGTTTCCACCCATGAACAAACCACCTGGCAAACTGTATACTTTCTCTGGTTATATCCCTTTTCTCACCACTGTTCCAGACGACTCAACAGACCTACCTCTCACCTTCCCACTTCCCCAAGAGTTCTCTCCCCCTTTATTTACCTCTTAAGGCCAAAACTCAACCTGCACAAAGCATACAAGATCTCTTCACCCTTCAGCTTGAAATTCTATTGTGACTCCCTGGATATTTAAAATCCAAACAATGAACCCTGGCTATGAACTGGCATTATGATTTTTGTTTAATGGGAGAGAGAGCTCAATGGTTCCAGAGAACCTAGGTTCAATTCCCAGCACAAAAATGGCAGCTCTCAAATGCCAAGAAATCCAACACCCTCTTTGGCTGCTATGGGCACCAACATGCATATGGTACAGACATACATGTATCAAAACACACACACACACACAATCAATCTATATATCTATATCTATATCTATCTATCTCTATCTATATCAAATCTTTCCCACCCCCTTGTTTTTGAGACAGCATTTCTCATATATCTATATCTATATCTATCTCTATATCTATATCAAATCTTTCCCACCCCCTTGTTTTTGAGACAGCATTTCTCTGTAGCTTTGTAGAGTCTGTCCTGGAACTCGTTCTGTAGACCAGATTGTCCTTGAACTCAGAGATCTGCCTGCATCTTCTGGGATTAAAGGTGTGCACCATGCTTATATATATATATCTTTTTTTTTAGACGCGTATGTAGAGCTCTGTGTGTGTGTGTGTGTGTGTGTGTGTGTGTGTGTGTGTGCAAGTGCAGTGTATGTGGAGGCCAGAAAGCAGCATCAGATCCCTTGGAACTATAGTTATTGGCAGTTGACAGCCACTGGATGAGGGTGCTGCAACTCCATTTGGGTCCTTTTTAAGAACAGGTCTTGGGCCGAGTGTTGGTGCTTTAATCCCAGCACTCAGGAGGCAGAGGCAGGCGGATCTCTGAGTTCGAGGCCAGCCTGGTCTCCAGAGCGAGTGCCAGGACAGCCTCCAAAGCTACACAGAGAAACCCTGTCTCAAAAAACCAAAAAAAAAAAATAGAGAACAGGTCTTGGGCTGGAGATGGCTCAGAGGTTAAGAGCACTGGCTGTTCTCCCAGAGGACCCAGGTTCAATTCCCAGCACCCACATCACAGTTCACAACTCCAGTTCCAATGGATGTGATACCTTCACGCCAATGCACATAAAGTTAAATAAATTATTTAAAAACAAAAAACAAGAACAGGTTTTACCTACTTCAGCCCTCCAGAAACCTTTCTTGGGTATTCAGGGACCCTCCATCATTAACTAGCTTGGACTGCCAGCTGGTCTGTAACTTACTTGTAGGCTGTTATGTACTAAGCCTTAACATGGTTCCCAATCTTACCTCCAAACACAGGCTTGCTTTCAGGCGTACTGCCCACATTGAAGGCGAAGGGTGAGCTCTGGTTGGATGTGCCCAGGGTGTTCAGGCTTCCCCCAAAAGAGGTGGTGGTGCCTGTGGCCCCACTCTGTCCAGATCCAAAGCTGAAAGTTCCAGAGGTGGAGCTGGTGCCTGGAGTAGCACCAAGCCCAAAGCCTCCGCTGCCAGGAGCTGCTGAGCCACCGAATGTGAATGGGGATGGAGTAGAGCTGCCAAACAAAGAGCTGCTGCTCCCACTGTGGGTGGTCTGCGTGGTGGCACCAAAGCCAGAGGTGGTAGCTGAACCAAAGGAGAACACAGACGTGGTGCTACCGAAAGCTGGCTGCGTGCTGGCAGGGGTGCCAAAGGTGGAGACTGTGGCTTTCAACCCGCCGAAAGCCGGTTGTGCAGCGCTGCCAAAGGTGGCTGGTGCTGGGGCTGCTGACGGGGCTGCAGCCACAGAGTTGCCAAAAGTGAAAGAGCTGCCAAAACTTGGGGCAAGTGCTGGCTTGGTGGCCCCCTCAGTGGCTCCAAACGTGGGCTGTGGGTTGGCTCCAGGGTATGTTGGGAGTGCAGGCTTGGCACCAGAGCTAAAGGGAATGTTGAAGGCAGGAGTGACAGTGCTGCTGAAGGTCAGTGTGGGCTGGCTGGTAGTGGAAGGGGCTGAGGTGGAGGTGGCCAGGGTCCCGCCAAAGCCACTGAAGCCACCAGTGCTGCTGCTGCTGCTGGCCGCTGTCTGGGCAGAGCTGGCAAGGGACTGGGTAAAGGAGGTGCTGGCTGCAGATGCTGCTGTGGCAGAGGGCTTGCCAAACTGGAAGATGGAGGACAGGGGTGGGGCAGAGCCGGCAGTAGTGACAGAAGGGCCTCCCCCAAACAGAAGTGGCTGGGAGGTGGAAGTCATGGTACTGTTGGCAGTGCTGGCCACAGTGGTCACTCCAAAGCCAAACACAAGCTTTGAGGCAGAAGCTGTGGTACCAGAGGCCACTGTGGAGGTAGCAGTGGCCAGGCCAGTGAAGAGAGGGCCTGGTGTGGCTGTAGTGGTGGCTGTAGCAGTCGTCTGCTTCAGGGAGAAGGGGGCTGACAGGGGCATGGATGTAATTGGCTCCACACTGTCAAAAATGGGCTTGAAAGTGGGAGCTGTGGTACTTGCTGTTGTGGGGAGGGTGGTGCTGGGTGAAGTTGTTGTAGTGGTGGCTGGGGAGCTAGATGGCAAGGGGCTATCAGTTTCACTTTTAGGTGTGGTCATAAAAATGGGCTTGAACATGGGAGAACAAGCTGGGCCAGTCGTGGCAAGGGAGGAAGTGGCAGGTGGGTTCAGCATCCCAAATAGCATGCTGGGCTTCGGGGTGGGGGAGGGAGCCGTGGAGGCTGGAGTGCTGACAGCCTGCTCAGCCTGAGGGACTCCGGGGGACTTGGTGTCAGTGAGTGGTGTTGCAGATGAAGCAGGGGCCAGCCCCAGGAAGGTGGCTGTAGGTTTGGAGTCTGATGAGGTGCTGGCCAACGGCCCTGTCAAAGGTGAGACAAGAGGGGTCAGGAGGCTGGGTGTCTTCAGAGGCGAAGGGGCCGCAGTAGTTGCTGCTGCAGTAGGCTCTGTGAAGAGGAAGTGAGGTGAGTTCTGAGGGTGTCTGCAGGTGGCACTTAGCATGCTATATCCTCTAGCACCAACAATGTACAGGGACTCAAGAAGACATTATTTCTACTTCCAGATTCCAGGAAAGACAAAAGGAAGAAGCAAGCACGGGCTGCATGTGTGGTCATAAAGGAAAATGCCATTAGCACAACTCTGGTGTCTACTTACTTACTTTACCTACATGTGCCTAGCCTATTCATCTAACAAAGACTAAACATGTTTATCAACTCAGCAGAGTAGTATCTGTCTGAGCTCCAAGAGCTGCCTCTCCAGTGTGAGAAGCACTGCTACAACGGTGTGTCCACATGCGGCAGCATGAAGGTACTAGCTGGCAAAGGTTCACCAGCCTCACCCAGAGAAAGGGATTTCAGTTACTCTAGGCTTGGGATCCAGAAAGCTCTGACACTTTATGGGACGGACCACATCATAACTGCAGACAGTTCCCAAGGAAGACATCGTTCTCACAGATGACACAGGCTTAGAGCAGTTGGGCACTTGGCTTTGAATCATGAACCCAATATGATAGCCTGCCTCCTGCATATTTCTGGACCAGGGCATTCTGAAGCCTAGGACCGACAGACTCTACATCCCCTTCATGTCAAAAGCTTGTCATTACAGGGCAGAGCGCTCTGCTTACCTGAGGATGGTGGGGCTGGAGATGGAGAGTCCTGCATCTTCTTCAAGCTCTCCAACAGCGGGTTAGAGCTAGGCATAGGCACTGGGAGGGAGGCTGGTGAGGCGGCAGGCCCTACCGCAGCAGGCAGGGTGAATGTGAATGGAGGATTGGCAGCAGGTGGGGTTTCAGTGGCTGAGGTGGAGGCGTCATCTGAGGAGAGACAAGTTTCTTACATGGGAGTTCCAGAGTAAAGGTACAGGAAGCTCAGAGCCCAAAATGCTTGTCCAGAAATGTTTCCCTAACCTCACAGGTGGCACACTGATCTATAGGCCTCAAAGAAGACCTAAGCAGGTTTCCCAAGGAAGAATGAACAAGGAAGCTGGAGTGGGGGTGTGACACATGGCCTGTGCTGGAGTGCTGGCAGGAGGTCTATGAGGGTGAGGCAAACTTGGGTTAGACAGTAACACCATTTTCACAAACAAAACTTTCATGTCTCATGTAAAAGTGTTGGTGACAGCTATTGGTATAAAGACTCCTGGTGAAATCAGGAACAAAAAATTCAAGAACTGGCTGTAGTGGCAGCCATCTATAACCCAGTCCTTGGGAGGCTGAAGCAAGGTTATGAATTTGAAGACAGCCTTAGATAGATGAGATTCAAAGCTAAAACAAAGGGAAATCAAGTATTCTACCACTTCTCTCCCAAGGAAACCCTCTGAAACGAACCCCAAGACAGCAAGGTGTTCGTTCTGCCCCTCTAGAGCACACTGAGCTCTGCATCCTTACCTATCTTGTCCTCCAAGACCTTGTTAAACCACTGCAGTGAGGCTTTCCTCTCCATGTCCAGGTCTTCCGCAGTGATGGAATAGCCTAGCTCAGGGGGTGGTGGCTGCCCAAGAGAACAAAGACAGGTTAGGCTAACCCCCAGAAGCGGGAAGAACCCGCTCCCAGCCCTCCTGAGTCTGAAAGAGCTGAGAGGGAGGGAAAAGACATACCAGGGTGAGCTGGTCCCCTCGCCGGGAGGGTAGCAATTGAATTTTGCGTTTGCGTTGCCCAGAGCTGCCAGGTGTGGGTGGGGAAGTCCAAGAGTTCTGCTGCTTCCCAGTGGCTGTATCTGTAACTAAAGACAAACACAGGTTTGCTGGACTCCCCACTCATCCAAGACAGGACTGTTTTGTTGGAAGACATCATGTTTTCTGTGTGTGAGTGGCCTGGAAGTATCCGCAGTGTCATTCCAAAGGTGTACACAACTGCTTCTGGGATGGCTGTGACCCAGAGCCCCACATGAGCTCATTACCTGCCAGTCCTCACATATGTACTGAACTGTGTCTGCCTTTCTCTCTTCCCACACTAAGGACAAGATAGACAGAGCAATGCTCTGTTAACTCCAATGGTGCTACCTTCCACACCTCAGATGCCACCCTCAGCCCACACGGCTTCTCTACTTACCCTTTTCTCCTGGGGACTCCTTGTCTGTTACCAAGGGAGCTGAAGAACAGGAATGGGGACATGGCTCCTCCTCTCTGTGGGGATTGTGAAAAGGCTAGATTTTGTTTGGGAAGACTACCTGGGCTGCACAGCAACTTCTCACTCCACTCACTCCACTCACTCCACTCACTCACTCACTCACTCACTCACTCACTCACGGCCAGAGCCTACAAAAACTATGGCTCTAGGTCTCAGCATGTCACATGTCACAGTTCTTGTAGAAATGAAGGTGGGCAGTTAACAGAGGCCACGAATAACTGGTCTTTAGTTAAATATAGTACAGGAAACTGCGAAGCCTTACTCAGAGCCTGCCAAGTCCAGGGCCCCAGACCGCATCTTCAGGCTCTAACAGTGGGTTAGTGCTGAGAGCTAGGAGTGAAGCTGGTGAGAAAGCAGGCCAGTGACAGACAGGGTGAAAATAAAAACGGCCGGGTGGCAGGCAGGGCCAGACAGACACAGACAGACCTGATCCCCGAGGGAGCCGAGCTCCAGTGAAGAGTGAGCTGGGGCCAGGGACCCAGGCTCCCTGCTGACCCGATCCACTCTGCACTCCACTCCCAGTGGCCTCTGCACCACTCCCACTGGAGTATGAGACAGAGAAGGGACCCCAACCATCAGTGTGCTCAGACTGCAGGACAGGGGATCAATTGTAGCAGGCGCTTTGCTGCTCTTTTAGGGCTTGACTCTTTGGGCTGCTGAGTCAGAGTCAACAGAATGTTCAACAGCCAATCCCTGGTAAGCCCCATTTTTCCTGCCCACAGAAAGTAACCAGAAGTGAATAATGACTACCTTGTTTTCTTAGCTGGCCTCTCTGGTGTCTGGGAGCGGGAGGAAGCTGGGCTGGAAAAGGGGGATGAAGTGGGACCACTCCTCTTCCACAGCTGCAAGTCAAGCAGAGTGACACATAGACTATTACTGAGAACACGACTATGTAGAAAGAAATTCTGAACAGGTTAGGTGTGGTGGCACACGTCTAGGAAGCAGAGGCAGGTGGACCTCTGAGTTTGAGGCCAGCCTGGTCTACATAGTGAGTTCCAGAACAGCCAAACCAAACCAACCACCTTTTTAAGGCGCTGAAGAGATGTTCAGCGGTTAAGAAACATCTGCTGCTATTTCAGAGGACCCAGGTTTGGTTTCTCTGGCACCCGAATCAGGCTGCTCATTAAGTACTTTAACTCTAGTTCCAGGAGACTGGAAGCTTTCTGGTCTCTGTGGGCACCTGCACGCGTATGGTACACCTAAACTCACACAGGCTCAAATAAATCCAAATATTTTTGTTTTTCTTTTTGAGTCCAAGTCTTACTGTATAGCCCTGGTTGCAATTCACTATGTAGACCAGACTGGTCTCAAGCTTAAAGTATGTCACCATAGCCGAAAAGTAATAAACCTTAAAAGTTTTTTTAATCCACGTAAGACAATACTTGTACCCATTATAAATTCCAAAAAGGATTATCTACAGTAAAAAGTACACCCTCTATTTTTGCAGATTCTGATATTCTATCAGAATAAGCTTAAGCATATTAAAAAAATACAAGCTGGCCTGAAACCCAGTACTTGGGAGACAGAAGCAAGAGGATCACTACAAGTTCAAGCCCAGCCTGAGAGGCATAGCAAACAGGACAGCCAGGGATCCATGAGACCTTGTCTCAAAAAACAAAACCAGACAAAAAAGGTAACCGATCTATCTGCACAAAGCCACACAGCTACTAGTGTCAATGACATTAATATCAATATCAAGCCTACCCTACAGCAAAGCTGCCTGGCTTCCCCACCCACAGATATTAACTAACTCTAAACAAGAAGGACAGCTACTTCACATTTTAAAAACTTGTACCAAATTCCAAATGCTTATAAATCTCATCTACACTCCAAAATGAACAAACCCTTTCAGCCAAATCAGTACCATTTACTGCACTGTTTTTCCTTGTTGCAGCTGCAGAAACAGCTCCATCTGTATCAGGTTCGCATTCTGTTTAGTCCCTCAGGTCTGTATTTTATTTCATTTGCTATTTAAGGCTATGTATTTGTTAACCTAGAGACAGGTCCAAGGCAAGGCATCAGAGGATGGTTTTGCATCCTTGGTTCATGGCTCTGAGACATACCTGTGAGAGGCCACGGGTGGAGCTGTAGGAGCTGGTGATGGCATTGCGGCTGGAGCTGGGGATGCCTCCTGTGCATGTACTAGTCAGGGAGCTCACAGAGGAAGTACGAGACCGTTTGTTCAAGTGGTCATCTGAGCTCTGAGAAGCCAGACTTCTCTTCAGGGAGCCAGGCCTAACAGAAAGGAAAAGTAGACATGCCACTGAAGTTTCGTTCTTCTCTATTATGCCCTCCATGGTTCCAACACATCTCTTTTAATAACCCTGAAGGCCATAATGTTCTCTTGGGCACCATCAGCAATGACATGGCTCTCAAGTCTGACAAAGAGCCTGGGTCAGCCACGGCATGGAAACACAAACAGGACTATAGACAGCAGAGCAGGAGGTGCCTGGGGCTGAAGGGAAGGATTACACCTTGATTGTGGCTGCATGGAGCAACAGTGTATTGGTCGTCAATGATACTTCAATAAAGCTGTTCAGAGTTAAATACCAACCACTCTCCTGAGCCTCCAACCCCAAAAGAAATTTTTCAGAACCCTTTCTGTAGACCTCTGCTCCTAGCTCTGCTATAGCATGGGTCTCTTTGCTATGTCCCAGGACAATCCACATACCACAAACCAGTTCAGTGACACTGCAGCAAGATATGTTTCCTTTTTCACCTGTGCATCCTGACTGCAGTCAAAGCCAGCCAGCTGTTCCACTCCTCTCGCTAGCTCTCAGATTCTGTCTTTCCCTTGAGACTGTCACCTAGGCTAGAGCCTCCAAAGCCACCACCAGCCTTAAAGGAACTTAGGTCCCTTCTACCCAAACTTCCTCCAAAGTTTTAAACTCAATGTAGAGACATTTAGTATTTATCTTAAATTCCATGTTATAACATTTCTTGAACTGCAGAGGAACTGTGATCCTTCTGTGAAGGGTCAACTATAACATGTTAGTGAAACAGAGTAAGACAGAGAAGACCAATTATTAGATATGGACTTAATGATTTGGTGGTTTAATTAAAGCACTGCTTATACTGCCCATTTCTAAGTATGACTTTACTTGCTACTTAGAACAGAATGACCTGGAGAAACAAAAGGTGGTTGTCCTTAAAACCCGAACACAAAAGCTTACACCCGTCAACTACATGTGTTTAGAACAATCTGACTGCCACGTATGCATCTGTAAAACTTACACCTGCTACCTCACCCTACCTTGTGGTCGTAGAGATATGATGGGGGAAGGTCCTTCTCTGTGTATGTTCATCTTATTATTAAATAAAGTACTGTTTGGCCAATGAGGCAGCAAGTTAGGCAGGACTAGGAGTCGAGGAGGATTCTGGGAAATATAGTAAAAAGAAGTCTTGTGATACAGGCAGGAAGTGACATGGCAGGCAGACTCATATATAAGCAAGGACAAACAGGAAGTGGTCCCCTTTCTCTTGCTCTTCCTCCTGGTCTCTGCTGTAGAGTTGCCATGTGATCTGCTGGCAAGAGAGGGCACCAGCGGAAGGTGTCCTCAATAATATAAGTCTTATAAAATATATAGATTTATGATAATTAAGACTGAGCTAGCAGATGAGAAATCCTAGTCATTGGCCAAGCAGCATTTGTCTCTGTGTGTTACTTGGGACCTTAACGTGGCGGCAGGTGGAACTCGGGCAAACTGGACCCAGGAGCAAGACCTTTCAGAAGCTGTCTGGCTTTGGTCCACTGGTGACATCTCTCCTTCCACTCTCACTGGTGTCAGAGTGCTTATTCCAGCAAGATTATCACAACATTAGCACAATGTATATATGCCATTAAACACGGACCCTGTGTATATTTCACTCATATTAGTGGAAAAACATGAAAAGAAATTGGAGAGAAAATATCCAATCATGGCAAATAAGTCAAAATGTCCCTACAGATTTTACAATGTGAACTGGATACAATGCAGAAAGCAAAGAGGAAACCTGACAGGGCAACAGCTAAATGCACCTTTTCTAAGCATTCCCAAGCATTTCACTTACTTAGGCACAAATGCAGCAGGGACTCCGTTGGCCACAAGGGGCTCGAATGCTGAATGCCCGCTCCCACTGCTATCATGGCGCCTGTGACAAACCAAGAAAGAAAATCCTCCATGAAATACTATGCTTGTCTTCTCATTCCCTTTAAGCATTTCCTGGGCCAACCTTATGCCTCAGCAGGTAAAGGCACTTGCTGTCAAGCCTGCTGACCTTCGTTTGATTCTGGGAATCCCTGGACCCCACAGGTAGAAAAAGAGAACTGACCCTCACAAGCTATGGTCTGCCTTCCGTGTGTGAACCAACTTACATACAAACACAATAAACAATGTGAAGAAAACTGAAAGCATTTCTTCAAATTCCTGGAACCCAGCACTACCTTTGTGGAGTATATTTTAGTACATTACTCTAAGATTGTCCTAGTAACTAAGGAGCAAGAAAGACCCTGTAATACATCTCACCTACTCAGGTGCATCACAAGGAAAAAAAATTTGAATCAAGTTTTTGTTATTTTGCCCAAACTACACCAGAACTCATTATGTGGCCTGAGGCTGTCTTTGAACTTCCAATCCTCCTAGCTCAACCTCCACAGTGCAGAGGATTACAGGTGCCAGCTACCATGCCTGGCAGATTTATCAGTTTTTAGGGGCCAATTTTGCATCAGATATTACAATAATAAATTTAGTTACATTATAGGTAGCAGTGCTCTAGAGCAGTTAGGAAAGCTCTATCCACCACACACACAAGAGTGTACTCAGGGGCCTAGAGAGATGGCTGAGCAGTTGCCCTTCTTCCAAAGGACCTGGGTTCAATTCCCAGCACCCACATGGCAGTTCAGGTCACAGGATTTGGTATCATCACACAGACATACATGCAGGCAAAACCCCAAACACCTGTAACTCCAGTTCACAGGATTTGGTATCATCACACAGACATACATGCAGGCAAAACCCCAATGTACATTAAAAATAAATAAATCTTTTTTAAAAATTAAAGAGGTAGGTAGTGACGCAGACCTTTAATTCCAGCACTCCGAAGGCAGAGGCAGGCGGATTTCTGTGAGTTCCAGGCCAGCCTGGTCTATAGAGTGAGTTCCAGGACAGCCAGGGCTACATAGAGAAACTATGTCAAAATAAATAAATAGATGCATGAATATATAAATAAATATATTTATTTATTAGTGTACTCATGGTGCCAGTGACCACTGCTAAATTCCAATTGTGGGCTAAAATAATACCAAATCTACAGGTGCACCAGGGCCAAGAAAAATAATTATCCTAAAGAACATGAGAAGCCTACCTGGACTACAATGGCTGTCATTTTCTCCTTGCCCCCTGGCCATCTGCTGTCCCTGCTTAGCTATGGGGCACCAGCACAATGCTTACTTACCATACCTGTATCTCCGCTAACATTCTTTACTCCATAAATACATGTGCCAATAAAGATTTCCCTAACTAGAGTGGAGCATGGCAATGCACAAAGGTAATCCCAACACTCACTCAGAAGGCTATGGCAGAATGATTGTGAATTCCAGTCTAGCCTGGGCTATACAGTGAATTCTTTTTATTTTATTTTTTCCCTCAAGACAGCGCTTCTCTGTGTGTAACAGTCCTGAAACTAACTTTGTAGACTAGGCTGGCCTCAAACTCACAAAGATCCACCTGCCTCTGCCTCCCAAGTGCTGGGATTAAAGGCATGCGCCATGACCCACTGGCTCATAAACAGTGAAGTCTAAGACAGTATGGGCTACAAAAACTGTCTCAAAAAAGAGGTCAAGAAAAAAATCTTTTACTTCATTTTGTCATCTAGTATTAGAAATGGTCAATTTTAAAATTTTAAAAATGGCTATAAATTGTCCAGACAAAGGAGACAATGGTAATTCTTCCCTGGGCACGTGATGCACTGTCTCCCAAGAGGGCCATCCTTTCCTCTTTACACCAAAAGGCCTCCTCATTACTCCTAACACTGCATTTCCAATCCTAACCCTCATACACTGGCAATTTGTAATTATTTTGGTTTTTAACCATTTAGTTGTCTTGCCAGGAGTGCCAGGTGGCATATGGAGAGGATAGTGCCCTGAAGTTCCAGGCCAACCTAGCCAGTCTAGCCTAGATAGCAAGTGTTAGGCCTGGGCTCTAGAGGAAAACCCTGTCTCAAATACCCCCATCCCGAAACACAGTGGGGTTGGAGAGATGGTCCAGTGTAGGTATGGTGCTTGCCACCAAGCCTGATGACTTGAATGCAATCCTGGGCCCACACAGTGAAAGGAGAGAACCAACTCCTCCAAGTTCTTCTCTGCCTCCACATTTCTTCTGATACCTCCCTCCAAAATAAGTGAACACAATATAATTTTAAAATTTTGGAAATTGGGGCTGAAAAAACAAAAATGGTTCAGTAGTTTAAAGCACTGACAGTTCTTGCAGAGGACCCAGGGTTAATTCCCAGCACATGCTGGCTTAATATCCACATGCTGGCTTGCAATTACCTGTAGCTCCAGTTTCAGGAGCTCTGAACTCTTATGAACTCTACAGACACTAAACATTTTAAAATTTTTATATATCATATATATGTGTACACATACCACACACGTGTATCTGTATGCATATGTATATATAAATTTGTTTGCCTCCAAAGTCCCATCAGGATGAAGTATAGGGCCTGGTACACAATGTGTGCCTGATAAGCATTTGCTGAATAAAAGAAAAAAAAAAAATAGTGCAGGGTTGGGTGGCACAGTCCTTGCCTTGAATCCTCCAATGAGAACTACTGCCCAGGGAGACAAGCACTTCTTCCAGCTGTTTATTGGCACTTAACTAAATAACAGAACACCATGATTGGAGGGGAAGATTTCCTTCCTTCCTTCAAACCTGGTCAGCCATTTTTTCTTTTTCTTTTGAGAATTCTTTTTAGTTCCCTACCCGATGTTTTTTATTATGTATACAGTCTTCTGCCAGCATGCCAGCAGAGGGCACCAGATCTCATTCAAGGTGGCTGTGATGAGCCACCATGTGGTTGTTGGAACTCAGGACCTCTGGAAGAACAGTCAGTGCTCTTAACCACTGAGCCATCTCTCCAGCCCCTGGAGGGGAAGACTTTGAGCATTCTCTTTTGAAAATAAAACTTAACAGATCCAAAGCTGATGGCTGGTCAGGCATGCCCATGATCCCAGCATTTAGGAGGTAGAAGGATTTAAGAATTCAAGGCCAGCTTGGGCTGCCAAGTATAACACCAATCTGCAACAGAATACTGGGAGGGGATTGGAGAGTTCAGTGGGGGCGATAATGCTGATGCAGGTGAATTCTTGTATAAAGCAGAGTTTAAGTGCAAGGGAATTGAAATTTACCTAATCGGTGCCTTAAGACATGAAGGGTGCAGGGCAGTGGGGTTGCACACCTATAACCCCAGAACTTGGGAGGCAGAGGCAGGTGGATCTCTGAGTTTCAGTCCAGCCTGGTCTACAGAGTGAGCTCCAGGACAGCCAAGGCTACTCAGAGAAACTCTGTATGGAAAAACTGAACAAACCAAACAAAGAAGTGAACAGTATTAACGCCCTTACTACCAAGCTGTTGCAAGGCATACAGTGGAGCTGACCTCTATACCTTCATGGAAATCACCTATACTTCCACAAATTATCTGGAGTCCACCTGGGAATCCAGTTTTGTACTCTTCTGATCAGTACCTTCTCTTGTTTTCCTGGCCATCGAGATGTAGCTGGTCTTCTTCCTCCACTGTCCTTTTCTTTTTTTCTTTTAGGGCGCTGAGCACAGTCTCCTTCGCACAAGGATCTGGGGCATTACTTGATGGTGAGGACAGCGTTGTGTTGAGAATCTGCTCTGGCCTGCAATGAAAGACAAGATTCTAGAAACAGGATATTTTAACAACCATCAGAACAGAAACCAGAAACTAACCAACAATCAAGACCAACTTAACTTATATATGTGTAGAAACTATCCTGATCAGTAAGTCAGGCTTGGTGGCATATGCCTGTAATCCCAACAGTAAGAAGGCAGAAGCAGGAGGAGCATCCTCAATCTGGGGCCAGCCTGAGCTACACAGTCAATTTCAGGCCAGCCTGTTGTATGAATAGTGTGTGACTGAGCATGTGTGTAGAGATGGCTCAGTGAGTTGCACAATCATGAGGGCTGGCAGTCAGATCCCAGCACCCTCACAATAATCCAGGCATCCTGTATACCCGTTACCCAATTCCAAGGGAACTAGAGACTAGAAACAAGAGGACAGCTAGGGCTTAATCAACCAGACTGAAACTTGGGCCTCAGGCTCAGGGGTGACCCTGGCCTCAAAGGAGCAAGTGAGGGCAATAAAGGAGACCTGAGGCTTTCTTTTGGTCTCCACACAGGTGCAGATGCAGGTGCTTACCTGCACACACTCGTTTGTATACACATACTCACCCTGGCGAGCGAAGTAATTTGCTGTCTGGAGGGGCAATCCTCACAGTCACTGGGCTACACACCATCCTCGAGTTCCGTGCAGATAGCACTGCCTTCTTGTGACCACCATTCCAGCACACTGTTGGCAGAGACCCAAGCAAGGAATACTGGGCCTGCTGAATGGGATACCGTCTTCGAGGTGTTATAACGAACCGATTGGATAAAGATCCACAATCTCTGTAGAGAATAGG